TGTTTCAACATCATCTGTTACATATCAACATCATCTGTTAGATATCAATATTATCTGTTAGATATCAACATCATCTGTTAGATATTAACATCATCTGTTAGATATTAACATTGTATGATAAATATCAACACTATGATAAAGGTCAGATAAAATTCTATTCCTCTTTGTTCTAGTCCCATTGATAAAGTCCCACAATAATTATGGATCTTCATTAACTGTCATCATATAGTCGAGTTGCCATTTAAATCTTTCTGTAATTCGTCTTAAGAATGAAAACACGCCTCCTTGCCACGAAACTTCAGTTAGTTACCTTACCCTGAAGGGTATTTGTTAAAGGAAGAAAGCCCTACACTAGGTATTAGATATAGGAAGAGCACCCTACACTGGGTATTAGATATAGGAAGAACGCCCTACACTGGGTATTAGATATAAGAAGAACGCCCCTACACTGGGTATTACATATAAGAAGAACGCCCTACGCTGGGTATTAGATATAGGAAGAACGCCCTACACTGGGTATTAGATATCATAACAACGCCCCTACACTGGGTATTTGATATAGGAAGAACTCTCGACGCTAGGTATTAGATATAGAAAGAACGCCCTACACTGGGTATTAGATATAAGAAGAACGCCCTACGCTGGGTATTAGATATAGGAAGAACGCCCTACACTGGGTATTAGATATAAGAAGAACGCCCGACGCTTGGTATTAGATATAAGAAGAACGCCCTACACTGGATATTATATATAGGAAGAACGCCCCAACACAGGGTATTAGATATAAGAAGAACGCCCGACGCTTGGTATTAGATATAAGAAGAACGCCCTACACTGGATATTATATATAGGAAGAACGCCCCAACACAGGGTATTAGATATAAGAAGAACGCCCTACAGGTCAGATATTACACTTATTACACTGTATGGTCCAAACACTGACTCGCCACTATTTTTATGATACTTTAATTAATACATTAGATGAATTTGGGGATGACAAATATATTGTTTGTGGTGATTTTAATTTAGTTCTGAATCCGGATCTTGATTATGATAGTAGTTATAAAAATATTAATAATTCAAAGGCCAGAGAAAAGGTTTTAGAAATCATTGAAAATTATTCTTTAGTAGATATTTATAGGGAAGTAAATCCAGATAGTAAAAGATACACATGGAGGAAAAAAAATCCTCTGAAGCAATCAAGGTTAGATTTTTTTCTTATCTCTGAAAACTTATTATCTAGTGTAAATAAGTCTTGCATTGAGCCGAGTTACAGATCAGACCACTCTTTTCCATTTCGTAATCTAAAATTTAATGAATTTAAACGTGGTAGAGGATTTTGGAAATTCAATTCTTCTTTATTGTATGATGAAGATTATTTAAAACTAATAAAACAGACCATCTTGGAAATAAAAACACAATATTGTCTTCCTATTTATAATCATAATAATATAGAGAATATCCCAGATACAGACTTACAGTTCATGATTGATGACCAGCTTTTTCTAGAAACTTTATTGATGGAAATCAGGGGCAAAACAATTTCATATTCATCTCACAGAAAAAAACAACAAAATATGGCTGAAAAAAAGTATAAGAAATGAAATACAAAACATTGAAGATCAAGACCATGTAGATACAGAGAAATTAGAGCATTTGAACAAGGAATTAGAAAAAATAAGATTAGATAGGATTAAAGGTAGCATTGTTAGATCTAGAGCGAGATGGCAAGAGGAAGGAGAAAAACCAACAAAATATTTTTTCAATCTAGAAAACAGAAATTTTACCTCCAAAATTATACCCAAGTTAGAAACAGAGGATAAGGGCACATTAACTGGACAAGATGAAATTCTTGAAGAAGTACGGTCATTTTACAAAAAATTATATGATGATGATAGAAGTGTAGAAGACGTCAATTTAAATGATCTCTTAAATAGTTGTAATGTTTTGAAATTAGACAACGCTGTTTCAGAAAGTTTAGAAGGGCAAATTACTTTGGAGGAAGCAACAATTATTTTGAAGTGTATGAAAAATAATAAAAGCCCAGGTACGGATGGTTTTACTGTTTTTTAAATGTTTTTGGAAATATCTTGGGGGGTTCATTTTAAGGTCTATTAATTTGGGTTATGAAAAAGGGAGGTTATCGTTTACACAAAGGCAGGGGGTTATAGTATGTATTCCAAAGGGAGATAAGTCTAGACAATTTCTTAAGAATTGGCGACCAATTACATTGTTGAATATAGTATATAAGATTGCATCAGGAACCATAGTTAGAAGAATTAAGAAAGTTTTAGACACATTAAGTAGTGAGGATCAGTCAGGTTTTATCTCAGGTCGTTATATTGGGGAGAACACAAGATTAGTATATGACATTATGCAACATGTAGAGGAAAAAAATATTCCCGGAATGCTGTTAATGATAGATTTTGAGAAAGCATTTGATTCCGTTTCATGGAAATTTATTGACAAGGTTTTCAAATTCTTTAATTTTGGTCCAGATATTCGTAAATGGATAAAAGTTTTTCATACTAATGTCAGTGCTTTTGTTAATCAAGGTGGTAATGTATCTTCATCCATCAATATAAGAAGGGGCTGTCGACAAGGTGATCCAATCGCGCCATATATCTTTATTCTCTGTGTTGAAATTTTGGCCATTAAACTAAAACATAACAAAAACATTAAGGGTATAAACATCAGTAATATTCCAATTCTTATCTCACAATATGCAGACGACACCTCTCTTATATTAGATGGCTCTGAAATATCATTAAAAGGATCTATTTTAGAATTGAATACTTTCACAAAATTCTCTGGTTTGAATCGAAATATTGACAAAACACAAGTGATCTGGATAGGAAGTAAAAAATATAGTGAAGATACTTTGTTACCTGACTTGAAATTACAGTGGGGAAAGGTCAAATTCACGCTTCTTGGAATTGAATTCAGTATCAATCTTCATGAAATTCCAAAATTAAACTATGATAAAAAATTAATTAAATTGAAATCTATCATTAAGATGTGGAATAGGAGATCACTGACTCCAATTGGAAAAATTCATCTTATTAAATCTTTAATGATATCACAGTTTAACCATTTATTTATGTCTTTGCCAAACCCAGACAACCTGTTCTTGAATAAGCTCAACTCCATCCTTTTTAGCTTTTTATGGAACAGTAAAACTGACAAGGTAAAGAGAGATATTGTTACCCAGAATTTTGATAACGGTGGACTTAAAATGGTAGATACAAAGTTGTTTATAGATAGTCTGAAATTAGGCTGGATTAGAAGATTACACCAGAAATTTGCTAAATGGCAAGCAACTCTTCAAACATATATTGACCTACATATGCTATCTTCCTGTGGAAGTGATTACATTCAGAAATGTAATATCTGTAGAAATAATTTCTGGAGTGATGTTTTCAAAGCCCTGTTGAGGTTCAGTGAAAGGGTGGGGGTAGAATATGTTAAGAAAAATATTTGGAAAACTCCTTTATGGTATAATAAAGATTTTTTGATAGGGAAGACAAGTATATTCTACAAGACATGGTATGATAAGGGAGTGATGATAGTTAATGATTTATTCAAAGATTTTTCTACTGGCACTTTCTACACTTTTCAAGATTTTAAGCAAATTGATAATATAAATTCAAATTTCCTTGAATACCATGGTGTAGTCTCTGTGGTTAAGTCATATTTAGCTAGATCTGACTTTGTAAGAACATGTACCTCTCATTTTTTTCCAACCATTCCAAGTAGTATTGAGTGTTTTGTAAAAAAAGGAAATGGGTCAAAAGATATATATATAATATTTTAGTAAAAAACGATACAATTCCTACTGGGAGGAAAAGATGGGAAGAAATATTAGAATTTGATGTTCGAAATTGGAGGGATATTTATAAAAATTGTTTTCGTGCAACAAAAAATACAAAACTTCAATGGTTTCAGTACAGAGTGGTTCAAAACATCTTAACAACAAATTTATATATGTTTAAAATTCGACTACTGAATAACCCACACTGTACATTCTGTAACTTAGAAAAGGAGACAATTATTCATATTATGTGGGAATGTCCAGAAGTTCAAATTTTTTTAGAAAGTGTAGAAGTTTTGCTGGAGGCTCTTTTTATTCCATTTTCCTTCAATAAAATAAGTTTTCTGTTTGGTTTCATTGCTAATAAAAATCAGTTAATCAGTAGCAAACTTGACAATGAAATCTTAATTATCATTAAATATTACATATATAAGGCAAGATGTCAACACAAAGCCTTAAGTGTATATAGTCTTATTTATTCAGTCAGGGAATTTTATACCTTTCAGAAATATATTGCCAATAGTAAAGGTGAACAGGCACAGTTAAGTTTTAATGAGGAATGGAGAAAATGGAGAAAATTATTGGAATTGGCCAATTCTTAACTTTAAATACATTTACTGTCATGTAGTATGTTTTACCGTATTTTAGTATTCTCTGTCTTTACAGTATAGCAGGCCCCTTGCTTACCCTTATAGTATTTATTTATTTATTTACCAGGTATTTTTCTTTATACTCGAGTCCGTATTGTTTCGCTGATTATTGCAATTTTTACTAACCCAGATCACCTCTTGGTTTTAGATATAGGAAGAACTCCCTACACTAGGAAGAAAATCAATATTTCAAGATATTGATCAAGACGACTTCATAGGACGCATGAACTCGATATTATCAAGACAAGTCTGATTAATATGACCGTTTGTTGTGATAAAATATTATGGCAGTTACATCCCAGCATAATGATACTATGTTTCCTGGAACCGAGACCATTTGTTAAGTGAATTAGTAATAGGGGGTACCAGAGCATATAGAGACCCTCGTAATATTCTATAAGTGATGAGGTTTACCGGAACATGCCGAGTCCCCTCCGTTACATGTATAGGTGATGGTGTTTACTGACTCGCACTGAACTCGAGACTTTGAATTTTCTTGGTTAACATTGTTACGCAATGTCAAATATTGTTTGTTTCAGTGGTTGTTGTTATCAGTGAGACGTGCCATAAAACGACCGAGACAGAGTATTCCTGTAAGTATACAACATGCCAAACAGGAAATGTGGAATGTGTGGATATCTTGGGGGTACACCTTTGCACATGCATGCTGGAGAATGTACACGGAGCTTTAAACCTGCCAGGTAAGTACTCGAATACACCACAATTCAACCCGCCGGATCTAATAACAATCAAAAGTACTTGTAAGTGATAGAAACTAAAACCTGTAAAAGCAGTTTTTATATATTTCATGCACTAATCTTATAAAGCTTTATTTTAGATTCCTCAGGATTAATGCTTTGCTGAACTGTTATCAACGTTAAGCTCAATTGCATTCTTTCATTTCAAAGTAAGCTCTAAGCTTGTTTTCCCATTTGTGTATATATTATTGTTGAACGACATGATTTAAATCAAAATTATTTTTATTTCTAGCATGCACTTTGAAATCCGATTGCAAGAATATGACTGCCTTCGTTGCAACTTGTTCGAATGAATTGTCTCAACATTGTGTCGACGGTGCCTGCAGATGCTTCGGAATTGGTCACAACCATGGTCACGGCCATGGAAATAATCAAAACTAACTAATATAAAACGATACTCTATTGATTGGATCCTTTTTCTGTGGTTTTTTCAATACACCTGTATAACGTAGCTGTCCTACCTGACGTCCATCATCAAGTCTATAATTGTTACCCATCTGTATAACGTAGCTGTCCTACCCGACGTCCATCATCAGGTCTATAATTGTTACCCATCTGTATAACGTAGCTGTCCTACCTGACGTCCATCATCAGACTGAGAGGAAATCTCAATACACTGACCAATAAGTGTACTGGTCAGTGTTACAGGTGCACAGGAATAGCTTGAGAGGAAATCTCAATACACTGACCAATTAGTGTTCTGGTCAGTGTTACAGGTGTACAGTATAGCCTGGGTGGATATTTCAATATATTCAGCAATAAGTGTATTGGTTAGTGCTACAGGTATAGCCTGAGAGGAAATCTCAATACACTGACCAATTAGTGTACTGGTCAGTGTTACAGGTATAGCCTGGGAGGATATCTCAATGCACTGATCAATTATTGTACTGGTCAGTGTTACAGGTAAAGCCTGAGAGGAAATCTCAATACACTGACCAATTAGTGTACTGGTCAGTGTTACAGGTGTACAGGTATAGCCTGAGAGGAAATCTCAATACACTGACCAATTAGTGTACTGGTCAGTGTTACAGATGTACAGGTATAGCCTGAGAGGAAATCTCAATTCACTGACCAATTAGTGTACTGGTCAGTGTTACAGGTGTACAGTTATAGCCTGAGAGGAAATCTCAATACACTGACCAATTAGTGTACTGGTCAGTGTTAAAGGAGTTGTCTAAGAGGAAATCTCAATACACTGACAAATAAGTGTACTGGTCAGTGTTACAGGGGTACAGGTATAGCCTGAGAGGAAATCTCAATTCACTGACCAATTAGTGTACTGGTCAGTGTTACAGGTATAGCCTGAGAGGAAATCTCAATACACTGACCAATTAGTGTACTGGTCAGTGTTACAGGTATAGCCTGAGAGAAAATCTCAATACACTGACCAATTAGTGTACTGGTCAGTGTTACAGGTATAGGCTGAGAGGAAATCTCAATACACTGACCAATTCGTGTACTGGTCAGTGTTACAGGTGTACAGGTATAGCCTGAGAGGAAATCTCAATTCACTGACCAATTAGTGTACTGGTCAGTGTTACAGGTATAGCCTGAGAGGAAATCTCAATACACTGACCAATTAGTGTACTGGTCAGTGTTACAGGTAAAGCCTGAGAGGAAATCTCAATACACTGACCAATTAGTGTACTGGTCAGTGTTACAGGTGTACAGGTATAGCCTGAGAGGAAATCTCAATTCACTGACCAATTAGTGTACTGGTCAGTGTTACAGGAGTAGTCTGAGAGGAAATCTCAATACACTGACCAATAAGTGTACTGGTCAGTGTTACAGGTGTACAGGTATAGCCTGAGAGGAAATCTCAATTCACTGACCAATGACTGTACCGGTCAGTGTTACAGGTATAGCCAGGGAGGAAATCTCAATACACTGACCAATTAGTGGACTGGTCAGTGTTACAGGTAAAGCCTGAGAGGAAATCTCAATACATTGACCAATTAGTGTACCGGTCAGTGTTACAGGTGTACAGGTATAGCCTGAGAGGAAATCTCAATTCAGTGACCAATTAGTGTACTCCTCAGTGTTACAGGTATAGCATCCATGAGCCATCACGGCAGGAACGCAGAGTGATCTCCCTTCCTCTAATAACCCTTATGACGTACCCCACAGAGGGGCAGCTAGGCAGATAAGGAAGAGGGGAGGATAGGGTTGGACTCCATAAAGTTATGGTAAGTATTACATCATTACATTAAAAAACCTCAATTTCATTTCAGTAATAATTACCATAACTTTAGTATGCGAATTCGTCTTACCGTAGTGGTGACTAGAAGCCAGGCAGGCCCTTCAGCACAACCAAAGTAGTAGGGAGGGAGAACAGAGTGCCAAAGTGAAGGAAGGGACCTCTCTGTTAAAGAGCAGGTGTACCCACACTCCGCCGTACGGAAAGACATGGCCCGGGGCTAACGAGGAGGCCCAGCCACTGACTATGCCACCACTAAAGGTCCCAATGAATACAGGCCTTCTGAGTGGGAAGCTAGGGATCACAGATAAAAATCTGTGAAGGTATCCCTGCCCTGCCAGAATGCTGCAGAACAGGAGTAGCCTCCTGAAAGGAGGACCCATTGAGAGAAGGGCCCAGGATGAAGCAAGGGCCCTGACCTCGTGAGACCGCGCTTTCGCTCTCGCCCGAGCCAGATCATCAAAATGCTCGTAAGCATACTATATCACCTGGCAAACCCACCTGGAAACCGACTGGGAGGAGATATCTCGTTGTCCCTGTTTGATGGGCAAAACAGACGGGATCGAGATAAAACCTAAGAGCCCGACAAGGACAAAGCAACCTATCTCGCTTCTCCGAGCTAGTCACAGCCAGGATCCTGATGGGATCGTGCGAGAACCCCGGAACCTGATTCTTCGCTAAAAACAACTCTATCCATAGCAAAGCCTCTGATTAGGGCAGAAAGAGAGGAGGACTAACCTATCTCCTTCCTGCCATAAAAAGCAAGAACTCTGGCAATAGCAGTACGATAGCCAGCAATAGTGCCAGATGCCAGATAGCGGTACCTAAACAGAGAGATTAGGAAGTCCGCAATCAAATGCAGAGGCTTCGAATGAATAAGCTTCCTTGCCGACACACCAATCACAGAAGATCATCCAATGTGACTGGTAGACGGCAGAAGAGGAAGCCCTGATTGATTGCTCAATGCAATCTGACACCTCTTGAGAAAAGCCTGCCTTGGCGTGGCTTCCAGATATAGCCTCAACGCGTGAAGGTGGAGGATCTCTGGTCAAGAGTGTGTTGTTCTCGGCCAAGGCTGGCGAAGGAGATTCGGTCTGGTGGGGAGAGCCAAGGGCTCCTCCACCAGAAACGACAAGAGCTCCTGAAACCAAGCTTGCCTCGGCCACAGAGGGGCTCTCTGAAGTAAGGAGCAGTGATGCTCCCAGAACTTCTGTAGAACCCTGCCCACCAGGTTGAAGGGAGGGAATGCATATGCATACGTCCCTTCCTATTCCAGAGAAAGGACGTCCACAGCCCACGCCTTACGGTCTGGGACCACCGGGGAACCGAAGGTTAGCAGCTGGTTGTTCAGGGAAGTGGCAAACAAGTCTATAATAGGTCTGTCCCACGCCTGACAATTCCCCTAGAAAATCAAGAGACACAGCTGCCATTCTGTCAACACCGGCTGGTGGCGCCTGGAGAGTGGCCACCAACACACTCAGCCTGCCAGAAAGATGCTTGACCGCTATGGTCAACTGCATGTCCTGGCAGAGAAGAAGGAATGTGGATGGAGAGGGCTCATAGGACATGAGACCTGGTGGCCCCTGTCTCTCCAGATACGCGACAACTGTTGTCAGTAGACACACTTTGGACTGCAGGATACCCCTATAGGACTGCAGAGCCAAATGAACAGTCTCATCTGGAGTACACTGATGTGCTCCGAGAGCTGTTCGCCAGACCACTCCCCCGAGCGGCATTGGCCATCGAGGTAAGCTCCATTCCTGTCATGAACGCGTCCATGAACAGGATCATAGAGGGGATAGGCTTGGTCAGAGGTACCCCGTGGAAAACGTTCTCCTGAATGGTCCACCAACAAAAGAACTCGCCTGAGAGGAATTCTCAATACACTGACCAATTAGTGTACTGGTCAGTGTTACAGATGCACAGGTATAGCTTGTGAGGAAATCTCAATACACTGACCAATTAGTGTACTGGTCAGTGTTACAGGTGAAGAGGTATAGCCTGAGAGGAAATCTCAATACACTGACCAATTAGTGTACTGGTCAGTGTTACAGGTGCACAGGTATAGCTTGAGAGGAAATCTCAATACACTGACCAATTAGTGTACTGGTCAGTGTTACAGGTATAGCCTGAGAGGAAATCTCAATAAACTGACCAATTAGTGTACTGGTCAGTGCTACAGGTGTACAGGTATATCCGGAGAGGAATTCTCAATATAATGACCAATTAGTGTACTGGTCAGTGTTACAGGTATAGCCTGAGAGGAAATCTCAATGCACTGACCATTTCGTGTACTGGTCAGTGTTACAGGTGAACAGGTATAGCCTGAGAGGAAATCTCAATACACTGACCAATTAGTGTACTGGTCAGTGTTACAGGTGTGCAGGTATAGCCTGAGAGGAAATCTCAATACACTGACCAATTAGTGTACTGGTCAGTGTTACAGGTGCACAGGTATAGGTTGAGAGGAAATCTCAATATACTGATCAATTAGTGTACTGGTCAGTGTTACAGGTGTACAGGTATAGCCTGAGAGGAAATCTCAATACACTGACCAATTAGTGTATTGGTCAGTGATACAGGTATAGCCTGAGAGGAAATCTTTATACACTGACCAATTAGTGTACTGGTCAGTGTTACAGGTGTACAGGTATAGCCTGAGAGGAATTCTCAATATACTGACCAATTAGTGTTCTGGTCAGTGTTACATATGTACAGGTATAGCCTGAGAGGAAATCTCATTACACTGACCAATTAGTGTACTGGTCAGTGTTACAGGTATAGCCTGAGAGGAAATCTCAATACACTGACCAATTAGTGTACTGGTCAGTGTTACAGGTACAGCCTGAGAGGAAATCTCAATACACTGACCAATTAGTGTACTGGTCAGTGTTACAGGTATAACCTGAGAGGAAATCTCAATACACTGACCAATTAGTGTACTGGTCAGTGTTACAGGTGTACAGGTATAGCCTGAGAGGAAATCTCAATTCACTGACCAATTAGTGTTCTGGTCAGTGTTCCAGCTTTACAGGTATAGCCTGGGAGGAAATCTCAATAAACTGAACAATTAGTATACTGGTCAGTGTTACAGGTGTACAGGAAAAGCCTGAGAGGAAATCTCAATACACTGACCAATTAGTGTACTGGTCAGTGCTACAGGTATAGCCTGAGAGGAAATCTC